TTTTTTATACTGTATATTGACTTCCTGTGATGTTCAGAAATCCACTTTTTGCTGTGCTTTTTGTCATCTGTTCTTAGGACAAGAAGTGGGCAGCATGGCTGATTAGCACTGCTGCCTCACAGCAAGAAGGTCCCAGGTTCAAACACCAGGTTGGGTCTGGGGTTCTTCATTTGGGGAGTTTGCATGTTCTCCTCATGTTTGCATGGATTTTCTCCAGTTTCCTCCCACAGAACAAAAACACACGTTCACGCTGCCTTCAGGCCTCTCTTGCAGAGAGATGTGTGATCTCAGTGGGATTTGCCTGGTTAGACAAAGATCAACAACAATAATAGATGCTAACACTGGGTTAGCACAGGCGCTGAACACCTACACCTACTGAGTGTTCAGTATGTCACTGAGTTTAAGAGATGTAATTAGTTTGATTATATGATATCACATGGAGGCTTTGTACAAACATCATTTTCTAACTTGTACAGTTTTCTAGTGAACAGTGAAGTCGGGATAAAACAGCAACAACCCTAAAGCATCATCGATGATTTTGACGTGTGTTGAATTTGTGGCTTAAAGACCAACAGAAAGCAGGTTTGTGATCAAAACTAGAATCTGAACTAGTCAAACCAACAAAACACTGATGTGAGCTGAAGAAAACCAAGAGTATAAGAGTCAAGGAGCAGATGTCCCTGATTTCCTGGACAGTCCTCATTTTAGACCAACTGTCCCCAACTAAAGCTGTCCCCGGAAATGTCCTTGAATTCAGAGTTTTATGAATGAGAAGAACAATGTTGCATATAATGATATTACAGAAGCTGGTCACGCTGCTGTTAACGTTACTGAGTAGAAGGGCAGAGTGCACCGCTTTAAAAACATATGTAGCTGCAAGGAATGCTGGGTAACTTGGTGGACGTTAAATGTGTGTGTGTTTGACTGTTAGAGATGTTCATGAGTGTAAAAGTGAATTGCTCTGGTTAGGTGTTTAGGTCTGTGTTATCAGCTATAAACTGACACCAGGAGTGACGTACTTCAAAGGTGTGTAAGGCAGAAATATTTTCTGTTAAATGATTGTGTGAACATAAAGTGTGATGTCACTGAAACCCACCTTTGTCACGCTTGACCGCTAGCTACAGTCTTTACAATCTGTGCAAATGACTGAAACTTTAACTGTCCCACTTCATCTTGATAATAAATAATCATGTTTTCATCTCTGACCTGAAAATATCCTTGGATTTAATTTAGGAAATCTGTTCACCTTAAAGGAGTGTGGATTGCTGAATGAAAACAGGTGTGCTGATTGCATATTTAGAACAGATGTGTGTGGAGATGAACACAGGGAGGAAAACAATAGCAGTGACAATAACAGACCAAGACTTAAATAAATAACTTAACTGTGACCGATTTCCTTTTTCCAGCAGCCCTCTTAGTGTTGTTTTTAATTTTAGGCATTTTTATTTTAAAAGTGTTAAGTGGATGTGACCTTTCAGAGAATGCCTGGAAACAGGTCATTAGACCCAAACCAAACAGAAGCGGGGGTTCTCTCAGATTAAGCGGGGCAATCAATGTTGCATTAACTGCTTTTGCCAGACTTTCTTCCTGTGTTTGGACTCTGAATAGGGCCCAGCAGCAGAGCACAATGGAGGGGAGGTCACTGGGTCACAGAGCTCACCTGATCAATGAAGCCGCCAAGAACTGACAGGTGTCTCGCAGGGTAGGAGGCAAAAATATGAGCTGTTGCGTTGATCCCCGTCACCGACAGAATCCCGCTCGTGAACTCCATGAAGGCATCTGTGATGAAGACAAACAGACATTTTCTCTTTTAAAGTGATGATAATGCAGCTAAAACCAAACGAGTTACATTCGGTATAAATAAATCTATAAATAGCTTACCGTAGTAAAGTCCAAAGACTGCAGCAGCTCCTGCAAAAGCACCCAGAAACTGAGCGATGACATAAAAGGGAAACTTCCAGATCTTCAGTTTGCCCAGAACCACCATGGCCAGAGAGACAGCGGGGTTCACATGGCCCCCTGAGACAGAGGACAAAGCAGAACGTGATGGGGGTGTGGGGGTAATTGGGGGGCGGGGGCGTCTGGATTAATACCCTCTCCATCACCGGTGAGGCTGACACCTTTATGAGATGCAGTAGAAGGAGAGCAGCCTCCCAGAGGACTCCAGGAAGAGACAGAATAATGGTCACTGATTAGCAGTTCTCTGTCATCAATCATGGCAGGAAAATAAGCTAAAAGTTTATTTTTTTATTAACAGTAGGCAGTTCCTTTTAACGCACCTAAATTCTTTGTTATTCAACATGATTTTTCTAAAGCTGAAACATCATAAACTACATCGCATGTTGCAAAAGATTCACGGCTCAGTTAGTTGCTTTAAGGTCTTGTGGCACGTTTAACTGGTATGAAATACTTTTGTAATGTGTGGGAACTATGAGATTGGCTGAAAAAGTTACAATAAAAAGAATAAAACCGAAAGATTTAAACACTTCAGCCTTTTCCATTCTAAATAAAACAGATCATAAACGTTAAACGATGCCAAAAATGTTGCTGAAATGATTAACTGTGGAGCAGATCAGGCCATGCTGGTGGTATGAACATGTACCCAAACATATAAATTCTGGATTAGGATACGTTATAATAAAGTTGTCCTAACTCCTTATTAGGACTCTTTAATTTGTGTGCTTGGCAGTTTTGTTCTGTTTTATTCTTGGGTCTCAGTTTGCGACATCTCAGAACTGGTAATTATGAAAAAGGTTCTCATGTCTCTACAAAAGCCCGTCGGTCCTTCTGATCTGGCCAGAAGGACTAATCTGAGCCGTAGCTGCTGAAGCTTCAGATCAATGGAGTTTGGAGGACGATTGCTGCCCGGGGTTCTGTGTGACCCCACAGAGGCTGATAAATCGATGCTCAGAGCGCATTCATTGAATCTGGACAGAGAGCTGGCACGCGTCTGGTGTGGAGGTGGCACATGGCTGGACAGGAAGCCATAAAGTTTTATGGTTACTACAAAGCTGAGTTTACAGAACAGACAACAAGGAGCTGTCACATTGTTGTTTCTGTTAAAATATAAATGGTTTCACAAATTGTCTCAAACAGAAGGTTCTGAGGGAACAATGGTACAAAACAGATTTCAATTCAACAAGTTTTGACCCTTTTAAAATGTTGACTCAGTGTTATATAGTCTATAATAGTGTTTTCAATGTGTAGTAAAAAAGGACATCTAGTTAATGTTTTAAACAATTATCATAAATATAATGTTTTTCAGTCATTATATTATAATATAATTTATAATATGTTGAAATGCTATTTTTTGTTCTGTTCTTATTATTAAATAAGTTGGATTTTCAGTTTCAATAAAATTCTTATTCTAAGCAAATGAAAAAATTGTTGAACAGTGAATTAAAGTGAGAAAAAAATAACTTCTAAAAGTTTGTTTCTTTACATATTTTGTAGTGTTGTTTGTGGGTTTGCAAGGTGGGGAGGGTCCGGCCAGAATCTAATGCTGTTGTCATTAAAAAAATTAAAAATTACCTGATATCCCCCCAGACACGTACACGGCCATCATGAGGCCCACGGAGAAGCCGATGTGGACGGTGATCGGCTCGCCCAGAGTGTTTCGACTCAGGACGTTCTGAGCCACTGAGCCGCAGCCGAACAGCTGACAGGAAAAAAACAAACATCTGTAGCTGGAAACAACTGTAGCTGCTCTACACTGTCCCACATTGTTTATTTTTCACAAGAAAAAACATAAATCGTACTTACAACCAGAACAAAAGTCCCAAGAAATTCTGCCAGGAACTCCTTGAATATTCCATGTTTCAGAGCACAGTGTTGCCTCATGTTTCAGCAAGTTGCTCAAAGTGGCGCACGTCCAGCTGCAAGAAACCTCTGGAGTCAAATCCCCACCGCTGCAGCCTGGACCGCAGCCGCAGCAGCACAGACTATTGATCCGTTTGAACAACAACTCACTGCATCCCCATCAACAGGCTGAGCTTTACGCCACAAATAATAAAACCACACAAATGTTGAAAAGTAAGAAAAAGCAGGCTGAAATGTTCAGAAACGTCAAGCGTCTGCTTTTATTTTTGTTCTAAGTTTCTGGAGGCATATATTACAAAAGTGTTTTTAATATGTGCAGTTATTAGTTTCAGATTTTTTAGGATTTTCACAATTTCCATTCACGCTGCATTATATTTATCTATAAAAGTAAAACAACAAATCAGTACGTAACTGCAGTGGTTTGCTTATTTCTTTTTAAAGCTGCAGTTATAAATATCACCACAAGAGGTCAGTGCTGACATTTTTAGTAGGTAAAAAAGGTTAAATCAAGCCTGAGTAGTTATGATTAAATGAATAAGATATTGCTTCATTAAGTCCAGTAAATTGTGTTCGTTCAGTTAATCAGAACTGAGGTCGTCCACGTCATTCATGTTGTCCTCCATGACCTTGATGATGGCAGGTGGTTTCTTCCTACGCCTGTAAACGCAAGGATAAGGTTGACTTTAGGAGTTCCAGGGGGGTAAAGTTAGCGTGGCGGTGTTTTAAAGCCACCTCACCTCATCTCGCTGCGCAGCGCACCCAGCTGTCCCAGAAGCTGCTCGTTGGCCTCGAGCTGCTCGTCCAGTTCCCTCTGCAGCTTCTTCCTAGAGTGTTCCAGACGTTCGATCTCCTCCTCCGCCTCGTCCATCTGCCTCTTCATCGTCTTCAGCCTCTGCGTCAGCTGCGGAGTTGACCGAAGTGAGAAACCCGCCCTCAGCTCAGCTCCTTGATGCTTGGCTCGAGGCTCTCTCTCTCTCCGGCGTACATACCTGCTCCGTCTGGCTCTGCAGGTTGACGTGCTCCTCGTCCGCCTGCATCCGCAACTCCTTCAGTTTGCGCTCCAGCTTGCGGTTCACTTGTTGCAGATTGGTGTTGTCCCTGAGAGCGGAAGCACGGAGAGATGACGTTGCTGCTGCCGCTTCCTGTAACCAAATGCACTTTACTGATGTTTTCACGGGAAAATATGAAAAGACGTCACCTCTCCTGTCCTTGTAGCCTCTCCTCCAGCTCCTGGACTCGGCTGTTGAGTTTGGAGACGACAGCGTCCTGATTCGTTCTCTGAGCTCCTTCCAGGTGGGTCACTCTGCTCTTCAGGTCTTTATTCTGTCAGAGGAAAAACAAAAAGGATTCAAGGAAACTTAAATCATAAATCACTTCTATGATGTGATGACAGAAGGTCAGAGAATTAGAGACTAATGAGCTTTTCTACAACTAATGTTAACTATCTATTTGATGATTTATTAAGTGTGCACAAGTGTGGCCAATTATTCACTAAAAACTGACAAATATTGTCCGATTAATTTGTTTACCTCAACACTAAATCTACAGGATGTATTTAGTTGTTTTTGTTTGGAGGTAAGACAACACAAACAAGCTCCAGGCGTCAACAATCTTATTCAACTCAAACCCTTTGAACTTCACTTGCCAAACCAAAATCAAGCACCACCCCCCCCACCCCAGGCCATAGAGCACAGTGGGAGTCCATAACCTTGTCTGCTCAGAGGTTTCGAAAATATCAATTTATTGTTTGTATATAAAAATCACCAAAATGAGTCAATTTGAATACAACTCTGTATAACTCAGTAACTATTCACTTTTTATTTTAACAAAGAGAGGAAAGTTGAACACATCTTTGGGAGAGGTGGGGAGTAGTGAGGGATGGTGGGGGCTCAGCTTGGAACCACTGATCTAAACCGTCCCTTTGAGGACAGTGATTTATTTCAAGCTACTTTTACAGATTGTTTTGTCTGCTCTTTTGCTTTACTTTTTGCCTGAAACGGATTTGTTAACTTGAACAGGGCACATTTCAAAATAAGAGTCATAAAAACTGTTCCTTTAGTTTAAGAAAAGCTCTGCACGGACTGGCCTACAGACATCAAACTGTTTGAGAACAAGAACTAGACCAGTGTTTAGATTCAGCATCATGAAACAGTTGGATAAAATCTAAATTTTGGGATTAATAACGTCTAAACAAAGTTCTCTTTCAACCTAACTTTAAAGAAAGCAGGTCAAACTTTGAGCTGAATGAGCTTTAAAAATAAAGTGAAAGTAAAAAAGAATTCTGTAAATTTGATGGAATTTTTCTAATTTACTAATTGGAAGGACATACAGTAAATAAGTAAATAAGAGACAAAACAGTCAGTTGGTGGGCTCGATGCTTGACTTTTTCACTGCTGCTTGTTTTTTTTTTTTTGCAATGTGTCATAAAACAAACCTGTAAATTCAAAAAACATGTAGTAGATTTAATTTAAAAATAATTGTTAACTGCTTCCACTGAGCTGAACTGAGTAAATGTAAAATAAATGTGTTACCTTTACTCAGTTCAGTTGAGTGGAACCACTTGACATAATTTTTTAAATTAAATCCACTACATCTGTTTTTTGAGTGTACAACATATGTATTTTTTCTTTTTAATAAAGCTCAGAGTTTCTCTCTGTAAAATGTGAAACTGTCTTGTTGTTCAGTGTTGCAGTCTCCTACTTGTCTCTCCAGGCTCATCTTGTCACACTCCAGGTCCTGCCTGACCGCTCGCTCCTGCAGCAGCTCGTTCCTCATCTGATCCATCTGTAGCAAACATTTAGAAACACCTTTTCAGTTTTAACATTACTGTAAGCAGGAGGACTTCAACAACACTTTGTGTCTACTTCTCAAAGAGCGTCACAGGAAATCAGCCCTCCTCCCCTCGCATGTTTTCAAACTCCAATATTGACTAAAAATATGCTCATGCGTCATAAGAAAAGGACAGAATATGGTTCCAATTTGTTCTGAAGAAATGTTGGTTACAACAGATTTAAAAACTCTCATTACTAATCAGATCCAGAGGCCCAGAGAAGGGAGTGTGCTCACAATAGTGTTTCTTTTTTCATTCACACCCCACCCAAAACAAGGGTTAGTGTCGATTATTCTGCAGCCCTTTACTCTAAAGAACTGGCCTCTTCACAGGCACACCGAGGAGGATTTTTAATAAAGTTAAAATGAATATTGTTATTAAGTTTGCTGTGGTGAGTTTCAACTGAACATAAACTACAAAAAGTGGCTGACAGCCAAGTTGGACTCACAAACACAAGCAGTTCTCGTTGCCCAGGAGGAAATCTGAGAGGTCAGCTCTCCACGTGTTTACAATGAAAACAGATGTAGGGCTGAGTCGTCGTGTTGGAAGTCAGCCGTTGATAAGACACGGCGAGGATATTTATGAATTGTTGCATGATGGGGGGGGGGGGGGGGGGGGGGGGGGACTGAACGTGCCTGCTCTTTGGTTTTGTCTAATCGCTCCATCAGGCGGTCCGCGCCGCTGCGCTCATCGTTCAGGTCCTCCACCAGGTGACCGATCCGCTCCTGAGAGGACAGAAACACCAGGTTCAGTTCAACAGAACAACACCGCACACTTGGCAAAGAGCTGGGGGGTGGGGTGGGGGGGTATCTGCGAGAACAGTCAGACAGGTCTGATAACTTCTCCACAGTAAACACCAGCTTCCTGGGCTGATAGGCAGTGTCAACACTCGGCTGTAATGTTTTGTCATCAGCAGGACCAGCAGTGCTGAGGAGAATGACGCCATTTCCACCGTTCTTTTCAGCGCCGCTGCAGGAAGGGGTGAGCGTGCACGTCGGAGCGCACGCACAGATAAGCGCTGGTGGTAAATGTGAATCATTCTTATGGGTGAGGAAACATTTTTATGACAAACAGAAATGAAAACAACTTTTGAAAAGTCTGCTCTGACTTAATGAAAGTTACTTTTGAGACTACCTGTGAGTTGTTTGTACTGTTTATAAACTTTATCAGTTCCTAATTTATAAAAACGTTGATTGCTGATGCAGACCACGAGTCATATATATTGTCATTAATACGTATTATTAGTTTGCTCAAACAAAACTTGGACAGATAGAAACACACATTAGTAAATGAATAATAAATAAAATAAATGAAGGAAATTGTACTTCTGAATATAATGCTAATTATTTTGTAAACCACTTAAATAAATGTAATGGGCAGTATTATGTATTTTCCAGGCACATAGTTCAGTTTTATACAACAAGTATCTATTTTACCTTCAGTTGTTATGAAAATGTTGTCTCTTTAAGAACCTCCTACCATTTCTGACACTCCCACTTCAGCACATCTTCACAACAATGCTTCAGGGGGCGGGGTGCTCTGTGAGGCGGGAGCTCAGCTGCAGACTGAGCTCCAGGGTGGAGCTATGTACAAACAGGCGGGGCTTTGTACCAGCAAGTGTTCAGGCAGCTCCACATGGCCAGAGGAGAGTCAAGGACTTATCAAACATGCATGAATGAGTCAAAGCACATAAAGCTCAAAAAAAGCAGATTTTGCATAATACCCTTCTTTTAAAATGTAAAACCTTTGTTATTTTATTTATTATAGAAACACTCAAATATAACTCATCATTGTTTTATAATTTGATACTTAGATAGGAAAATGTTAGAACAAGTGTGTTAAACTCATTTTCACCGAGGGCCAAGGAGCCAGTTGTAATTAACTTTAACTTAACAGAAAACATTATGTTCCTCATCTCGTTGCTCTGGCTGGGCACCGCTAACTAACAATAATAGAGCTCTACCTGGTACTTCCTGCATAGAAACAGTGTTTTAACACGTCCTCTTATGAACACTGAAAAGCACAACAACTGACTAAATGTGAAATAAATAATACAGAAACACTATTAAAAGAAAAAGTCAGAGTTTTACTCAATGTTGAGTTGTGGTGAGTCCTGAATTCTGAACTCCCCCACGTTCCAACAGGGAATTCTCATGCATAATTGACATGCATTATGGGAGATGTAGTTCATTATAAATTTAAAGTTTACCATTGATATAAAATCAATTTTAAAACAGAAATATAT